CCCAGTACAGGAGGTCCATGTTGTGTATTGCCTGTGTCAGTATTCAGTGCCCCTTCAGCCAGTACAGTTCCCCTTCATCTGCCTGAATTCCTCAGCGGTAATTGCCAAACAAAATCTAATTAGGGGATGGACAGAGAGCCCAGTATGGATCCAGAACTGTTGACAGTGCAACCTTCTACATCTGGAATGTCTTTCTCTTTCTGCTTGTTCTTTCAACACATAGAGTTCCTCTTACGAGCCAGGTGCCATGCTTGTGGGTCATAAGACTGAGCGAGGCATGATTCTTCCCTCAAGGAATCCTGATAAATGTAATGTAGTTTTTATATGACCAGAATGATGTATAAAGTGTTATTTATTGTGAAACACAGAGCAGTATAGCTAGCAGGGTCTGGTAAGATCAGAGAAGTCCTTTATAGGAAGTGGACCTGGAGCTGAGCCTTTAAAGACTGAGGTTAGGTAGGTCTGTGTCTGGGATGGGATGGATTCCAGCGTGTGTGCCAACAAGAGTGAAGGTACAGAGCAGGAGCAACATCCTATATGCTGGGAACTGTACATAGTTCTGTGGCACGTGGAGACATGTCACAGCCAGACTTCACATTTCAGCAAGATTCCTCGGGCAGCTGTGTGCAGGGCAGAGTTTAGGAGGAAACAGCTCCAAGCAAGGAAATCATTTCCAAGGCTGCTACAGTGGCTGAAGCAAGACACAGATAGGAGAAGAGGTGGAGAGAAGGGTGAGAAGTTGAAAAGTGTTTAGGAGGTGGAGGCACAGAAAGCCAGTGTATGGAACTGGGGCAAAAGACCAAGTGTAGAAAAATGAGAGGATGCTCCAGATTAAGCAAAGATTGGTAAGACTGGAAGAGCAGAGCAGGCAGTAGCTTTATAAAAAGCCAAGAAAGGAGTGTGATTGACAGTACGAAGTTCTAAGAGAGGTTGTATAAAATCAGACCTGGGAATTTTCCAGTAGATTAGAAACAAAATGGTGAGAGCAGTTTGAGTGGTGCAAGACAAAATTGTCTGGGATGAGGATTGAATAGGAGGAGTAAAAGCAGATTCAGCACTGAATCATTTTCTCCTTTAGATACTGTAGACAGAGCACTTGGGGCCAAAAGCTTTTCAGATGTCCAAATTATGCTTGAGGCCTGAAAAAAAAATGATTGGCTTCCAGATGCAAAAAAAAAAAAGAAAGAAAGAAAACTGCAAAATTAAATTAAGATATGTTTAATTAAATATCCCCAAAATGGAACATTGTTTCAACTTCATTAATTTTTTAAATTTAATATGGGTAAAAATTTCATCACATTTAGAAATAGTTTTTGGTTAGATGTTTCTCATTTTGCAAACATTCCCCGGTATGCAGTGATTGCTGAGAAATCGCAGCCAGTTGTAAATTAACTGTTTCTTGCCACTCAGTGGTATCAGAGGCGAAATTGTAAGAATGCATTTAATGTAAGATGTGCATTTTCTCCTACCTGCTTTTATGTGGGAAGGGGCCTCCAACGGTAAGCATTTTAAGGGCTTTTAGAGTCTCTTAAACTAGCTCTGATGTAGACAGTGCTTACAGAAAATTTGACCATGGCAGAAAAGAGGGGGAAGGGATGTTGATTAGACACAGTTAGAGGGCCCCGAAGGATGCCTCTTGCTGAAGGAGAGAGAAATATGAGTGAGAAAATACCAGTAGGGAGGAAGAGATTGAAGACCCAGGGGGTGACTGGCAGGGACACAGCTGACATATAGGTGGCAGGATGAGATCCAGGAGAAGGAGCACCCCCTTTCAGAAGCAAGAGGAAAGGAGACCCTTCCCAGAGGGCTGCTCATTTTTCTTATTCTCCTCCTGAAATGATAGAGGAGCCCCGGAGTATCCCAAGTCACCTGGGAACGCTCTTTACCTGAGCAGGAAACCATCCTTAGTGTCATTCTAGTCACTTCCTCTTCACAGGCCTGGCTAGAGAAATGAGTTTGTCCACAGTGTCCTGAACAAATCCTGTTATGGTTTGTGTCTGGTTGTCCCCCAAAAGTCTCATGCAATCATAGGGTGGAATTCTAGACTCTGTTATTAACTCATGATCCACCGGGATTATGGGTGTGAGTAGTACTCCCAGCCTGGAGAGTCTGAATGCAACTAAAGAGAGACAGACTTGCTCTCTGCAGCCACTGTTGCTGCTGCTTCTCCATTTTGCTCTTGCTCTTTGCCACTGCCATGAAAGGTTGCTGTCTGCTATGTGCCAGTCTGCCTTGGAGCCAGCTGAGTATGAATTGAAATCTCTAGTAACTATGAGCTAAATAAACTTTTCCTTCATTTTGGGTGTCGGGTATTTGTCCCAGCAATGAGAAAAGAGTCACTGAGACACATCCTAATATCCCAGTTCTTGCCATCCCCCAAGCATTGGGCTGGAGCACCTGCCTACAAACCCAGCCAGACATGTTGAAATGTGTTTTCCTTCTTTGGAGTCCCTTTTCATCCCCCATCCAAGGGGATCCTAATGCTACCACAGTCAGACGTTGTGCAAGGTGGCTGTAGGTATGAGGAGCAAGTGTTCAAATGAAGCAAAGTGCCTCCCTCCTGGAGCAACTCCCTATCATTAATGATCCCCTGATTTGATTATTCAAAGTAGAGGTTCTTACATTTACTCAGAAACACAAGAGTTGACCATAATCGATAGTTCATTTGATGCATCCACCATATGAGTCCTCAAAACCATCCCAAGCAGATTCTCAGTGTGGGCAGGGATTGCTACTGTACTCTGTTAATTTAAAAACAAAAACAACAGACACCCACTTGGGGCTTTCTGGGAAGAAGCTCAGTGCATTGTGAAAAAGCCAGCCTGGGCTATTTTTCCAGCTTGCCACGGTGCACGAGGCAGCATCTAACCTCAGTTCCCACTTGTGCCTCATTTCATAGTGTTCTCTGAAACTTGCTGTCCCTGACAACAGCACAGCAGCCCTGTATTCACAATGGTTGCATGAGCACTCCAGTGTGCAGCATTCCTGAAGACCAGTGAAATGTTATGTCCTTCTAGGCATTTTCCTGGGTAAAGGATGTTTTGTGATTTATGATCGTGGCCCCTGCTGAATGAAGGTTTTACGTGTTTATGACACTCCTCCAAATGGTTGGGCTTTTCAAATGCCAAAGAAAGCATTTAGTTATGTAGCTAAGCTCACTGTTGGACATTGTGCAAATGACATAGCCATATCATTCTACAAATAGGTATTGAGTGTATTCTCTACTTCAGGTATCCTATGAGGCAGTGAGGATACAACCAGACTTTAAGGTGATTAAAACTTGTAAGGAGCTTCCAAAGACACCAATTTACAAACTAATTGTAGGCCTGCCTGACTAAACAAAAAATTACCTGGGAAACTTGTTTTAAATACAGTTTCCTGAGCCCCTGTTGTGGTTTGTGTGTAGTTGTCTCCCCAACTATGTCTCCCTCATGCAATCATTGGGATGACTTCTAGAGTTTGCAGTTAAGTCATGATGAAATGTAGGGTTTATGGGTGTGAATGCTACTGAATGCTACCCTGGGGTGGGTAATCCACATACAAATGTAAGGAAGGGAGAGAGGTTTGCTAGCTGCCACAGCTGCTATTCCCCCCTTTGTTCTTTGCTGTTTTCCACTGCTGTGAACCGCTGCCCCTTGCCATGTGCCACTCTGCCTTGGAGAAACCAAGTATGGACTGAAACCTCCACTAACTGTGAGCTAAATAAACCTTTCCTTCCTGACTGTGCATGTTAAATATTTTGTCCCAGCAACGAGAGAAAAGTAACAGAGACACTGACACACTAGGTCTTGGGTAAGGACTGGGAATCTGTGTTTAACAAGTGTCCCAGCAAGTTCTGATGGCAGCCAGGTTTGAGAACCAGTAGTCTTGGGAATAAAAAGCATTACTTTCCAAGTAAGGATTGTAGTAACTTGTTGAGTATCCACATTCACAATGCTTGGGAAACGTTTCAAATTTCAGAGCTCTTCAGATTTTGTAATATTTGCAGGTGGAGCATTACTAAGCTAAAAATTGGAAATGCAAAATACTCCAAAATCACACCAGGGCTTAAAGGTTCAGATTTTAGCTTAGGGCTTCTCGAGTTGTAACATGTTGACACTGGTAAGCATAACTTCTTTCTATCCAGAACGGTTGTGTTATATCACCCAAACACAGTAGTAGGAAGACTGACATGTCTTTATGAGCCTGCTAGAATTTACAGGTATTTGGGTTTCTTATTGCTGTAAGCTAAATCAAATCTAGCTTCGCCCTGCCCTTTTCTCAGAATGATCTTCACCTCCTGGCCACTGCCACTCTTCTGTAGCTTCTGTAGTCTCCTCCACTGACAGGTAAAGCCCTGTCCCCCATTTTGTTCACTCTTTCAGGAACGTGTTTCCAAGCCATCTCCCAGACCCACATTCTAGCTGTTTAAATGATACCGACATTGGTGGCAGAATTACACTACCACTTTCACACTAATTTTCATTCGTTATCACTTTCTTACAGGTCTGGGAATGGAGAATATTGGTGGAATCTTTGTGGTTCTTATTTGTGGCTTAATTGTGGCCATTTTTATGGCAATGTTGGAGTTTTTATGGACTCTCAGACACTCAGAAGCAACTGAGGTGAGCTTCCAAAAGGGTGTGGTCTACAGGGCTGCCAGAGGGTAAAGGTCACAGGTTTGCATTGGTATTTTGGACGGGACCTGTGAAAGATCCAGAGCTGTGTACAGGAGAGTGTAGTGGGAAGAGCCGAGCCCTAGGGTGGGGATCTGGGTTAATACCTTATCACCTACTGATTACACTATTATTAGTTAGCCTATTGATTATTATTAGTGCCCATAGAAAGGATGCTAATCTCATCTCTCAGAGCTCCTGTTTCTTCTTGAAAACAGCATAACAAACAAGTGTATGGAAAATGTGTTGTGGATAAGGTCTTCTGGAATAATAATGTAAGATGTAGCTTAGTAAACAGTGTGTGTGTGTGTGTGTGTGTGTGTGTGTGTGTGTGTACGTACATAGAAGTACCAGGTTAGTGATGGAAGATACAAACTCAGTCTTTCCATTTTGAGCTTTTCTGGCCTTGTCCCTGGGATATAACTCAATGGCACAAGCACCTGCCTAGCAAGCACAAGGTCCCGAGTTCAGTTCCCAGTACAACAAACCAAAAATATATTGAATGTTTCTGGCATATAGATTAAGACCCTCAGATAGCCCAATTTATAGAAACCTAAGAATTAGATCTTCCTTCTCTAGGATTCTGAGTAAATTTTATTCCCCACTTTGGCTTAGAGGTTAATATAAACTTCACATTGGAGGAAGAGTTGAAAGGACAAAAGATGCCTCTAATTTTTAATGCTCTTCTCTTCCATCCCAGCAAAAGTACTAATCCTTGCATGTTAGTGCATGATGAGATTTTCTGTAAAGTACATTAGCCCCTGCTGTAAGCTCCCAATTCCGGATCTTCCTGAACCCCTCCCCCTAACTGCTCGTGGAGAAGCTTCTCCAGCCTGTATGGCTCATCCCTTAGAAGCTGGGGAGTCCTACCTCACATGGGACCTCAGCACAGCTCTGCCTGCCTGTCCTTCCCTCCTTCTGTGCTGAACCTCTGTCCCACCCCCATGATCATCATGTTCTCTGGTCCTGCGGGCATAGAGGTTGCTCTGATATCCAGCCTCCTGAAGAACATCAGGAGTGAAGAGCCTCCAGTGAAAATCACTGTGTACAAGTGTGTGCATTGCTGGGCGCTCACTCCACACCTGCAGCAGATGTCCTGTTCTTCTGTCTTTACTTTGATCTTGCCATTCCTTAGCTACGAGATGTGATTGAAATAAAATTCCTCAGCAGAAGACACGCTGCTGCTGATCCCCCTCAAAAGACTTTCCCTCACTCCGAACATGCTTGTCTGATCATCCTTGCCACTTGTGGAAGCGATTCTGGGAGTCCTTTTGCATAACATATATTCACTTGCACAGTTATTGCTGTCTTGTTGTCCTGAATTGATTCATAATGTTTCCTCTTCATGGAAAGCCAGAAGCTGCATGCTACCTGATCAGGAGAGTAAGGTGCATCATGACATGCTGCAATGGTTAAGTTTTGCTGCTCCTTACGATGGCATTCAGCAGCAACACCAATGCTATTTTTTTTAATCCTGTCTCTTAAAGACGCTCATGAAAGAGGACTTCCAGAACTGCTGTAGAAAGTGGCAAGCATGAGTATGTTTTCCATAAG